AGAGTCAATGAGGTAACCTTTACCTGTCTCTGCACACAGTTTTGAATAACCTTCCTGGCTAGTTCAAAGGAAGACTCCTGACCAGGGGCTGAGTTGCTCATGGAGAAGCCCACATCCATGCAGAGCACCATGGCTGACTAAAACACAGGAAGAAACTACTAAGGAAGTGTAGCAGACGTCTCAACAATTTCTCCGCAAGCCGGCAAATTTTCCCGCAATATAGCCGTCCTGGAGCACTAAAAATGTTGGGTGATGTCAAATTTGTCAACATTCGACTTCATAAGAATAGGGAATATTCGTTTTTTTCGACATTAGTTTTTTTTTTTGCATGGAAAAAGCAAATATTATGTCACATGATTTCAATATAGTTAATATATTATCTAAGTTTACCCAAGAATAAACTTGCTGTAACAATTTCATTTCACTAATCGATTATGCAATTCAAATATTTTATATTAAAAATATTTTAATATATTTTTTTATCACGAAGCTTTTTTTACATGTCTTATTTTTAATTAGCTGCAATTGACAGGAATATAACAGTGGAATTCGATATATTGGGAAAACGCAAATAATAGGCCTACAACTGCAGAGCTGCCCACTTTGATCAACTGGCTGGTGTGAGATTGTCAATTCGAGACAAATCTGCACACGCATTTATGTGAATGTAACAGTTTTATCACCTTGTAAATAGTCTATCATTATTATTATTTCACTCGATCAAATAAAAAATAATAATACGTTACCTTTGTCGATCGAGCCATTCTGAGCAATTCCTTGTGTTTAGATCCGGTTCCCTCAATTTTCCTCCGTTCCCTTTACTTTTATGCCCAGCGCAAAACTTGTACGCAGTAAGAAAGGTTCCGCCTATGTGCTGATATTTGTGCCACTAGAAACTGAATATGAATTTTGTATATTTGAAGCTGCAAGTAAAAACTAAACCTGAATCTAATAGTTTGAATCTGAATTCCAATAACTTGAAACAGCATTTATCCTACCTCGAAAGTTTTCAGTTCGCAAATTCAGTTTCAATCTATTGTGACACACATCCGGGTCCTTGAAGAAAAGTAATCGACCGCAGATTCACAACGCAACTCATTTCCACGTTTACGACAGTTCTGCTGGTCGGGGCAAAGAGGAGGCGTGTGCCGGAGTGTCGCAAGTGCAAATGCGGGATCATATACGCAGTCATCGTGTACGTAATAAAAATTAAGAAGAACAGTTTTTCTCCTCTTCGAGCACTGCTTATACAGATCACCATATTAAACGCCAGTCCAACTGATGCTCCCGGTTATTAGCCCAGTACACAGAAAGCGCTGTAGACATGCAGCAGTCCAATACTGTTTTGCACTAATTTTTATACATTTTCTTATCGTGTAATGAGGGGTGCATTAGACAATAATGAAGGGGTAGTTTCACTATAATCCAAATATTAACTTACTAATGTTTAAGAACACAGTGTCTAATATAATGCAGACACTAAAACGGGAACTGGTAGAAAACAGGTCGAGAGGACCTCGTCCTAAATAGATTGAGGGGTTAATCATTTAAGAATGCAACTAATAATTCTTCGACAGTAAAAGAACAGGAACCGAGCAGGTCAGGAGGACCTTGTTCCCGACAGTAAGAGAACAGGAACCGATCATGAAGCTGACACTTATTTTTACTCTTTTCTGGGGACAGGCACACATGCTAATTAGAGAAAATGTCAATGTATGTGGTAGTCACGTAGGTGGAAAAGTACAGAAAAGGGGGGGCACACCCCAAAAGGCCTATAAAGACCTAGAGCCGACACCTATGGTTCGAGCATCTTCCTGTACATGCTGAATGTATGTCAGATCGTTGCTCCCTGATTAATCAGAATAAACTAGTGACCTGCAACCACTCCTCGACTGTGCAGTGAATCTCTTCTCATCAACGGACTCCGGCGGAGATCTGACTCCAACAGTAACAATATCTCGTGACTTAAGCATCATCATTTCTTCAACCATTCACCATCGTTGTTTTCTCCCTTGATCCACACCCCTAGGTGATGTTTGTCAATCATCTCTTTTACTGTTTGGTCCCTCGGCTGAACATAATGGTGGCATGACCATCTCTAGTTCTGTTTTTTTTAAATACCCAGCCGTGAACTTTTGCGAATCCCTTTCTTCAGTAGCAAACCTTGCATCGGTCTTTGTCAGTCACGTGTCTGCACTGTCTAACACGCCCCCATTCGCCATTTTGAGTGTATCGCGGATGTAAACACATTTGCTTAATATTTCAAATTCAGTGTTTTTTTCTCCACAAAAATGTAATGTTTTATGTAATCAGTAATAGACAATCTTCATTACCAAAACACACTAGTAATGTAGGTGTTTAAGAAAGGAAAAGAGTCAAGAACACCACAAAAATGTCATTGCATGGAGTCTGGACATAACTTTATTGGTAATATTTACATTTTATATGCATTATGAAGTGCTAAATAATATTCCATACTCACATAAAATTAATACTGATTTCCGCCTCATATCGGCAAGATGAATATTTAAAAAAAATATTTAGCATAAACACTGCTAGAAAGCCACGAGATGAACAGGCGAGCCATAACAAACTAAACTAGAAGTAAAATTCATATCTCTAGCTAGTTTTGCATTAGTCTACCATATTAACATAACCTAGCAGGGCCAGAAATCGTTGATTTAACCACATATACTACCATATACTAACCAGACGTATGGTTAATGTTTATGCTATCGCTTGTGTATATAAAGCTTGTTCTCATATGTATCATAACTTATTAGGTAATGACAAACCTGCGAATCCAGCATTTGTTTTTCTGACATCCTGGCATGCCTCCTCTTTACCCCGACCTGCAACTGTCGTAAACGTGGAAATGAGTTGCGTTGTGAATCTGCGGTCGATTATTTTTCCTCAAGGACCCGGATGTTTGTCACAATAGATTGACCTTGAATTTGCGAACTGAAAACTTTCGAAGTAGGATAAATGCTGTTTCAAGTTATTGGAATTCAGATTCAAACTATTAAATTCAGATTCAGTTTTTAACTGCAGATTCAAATATACAAAATTCATATTCAGTTTCTAGTGGCACAAATATCAGCCCATATTCCGCCTCCAGGCCCTAGACCTTTCATATGTGATATCCTATGGAAGTATGTCTGTGTCATCACAATTTGAATTTTATATGGCACTGAAATTCTAACATTGAATATTTATGCATTGGAAATATGCATCAGAAATTTGATGGTCCGAATTCACATGCAAAAATACGAGGTTAAAAATACAAAGACAACATTTCAAAGTTGCTCGAATTCGACGGTCTGAATTCACATGCAAAAATACAAGGTTAAAAATACCGGTGTGTCCGAAATCGCGCACTTGCGTCAGTGCACACTACCATGGGTAAGTGCTGTCCTAAATGGAACACTAACGTTTTGCACTTACCGGAAGTGACGGACTAGCTCCATGCCCTGAATCGACGGTCTGCCGCAAAATGTGAATACATGCGCAGTATTGGGCCTGGTGACGGTTGGTCCATTGGTAGCGCCATGTTGGAAATGACACAGCTTCAGACCAAAACAATCGGCTGCACAAGATCCAGATAGATCATTGTTTGTCCCGCCTACTGACTTTGATGGGTCACACTGACAGATAAAATTAATTCATGATGTGGTGAAAGCGCCAAAAGTGCCAAAATTAAATAAATAGTGAAATAATTGTAAATGACACATGTAATTAATTAATAATGATTTCATTTCTAATGG